TCAGAACTCGGTCTTCTCCTCGCTGGCGCTGCTCAGCCAGTGGGAGCGCCAGTTCCCCCAGCTGGTCTCTGCCGCCCCGGCGTTCTGGGGCGCGTCTGCTGCGTTCGCCCCCTTCGCCGCGCCCCGGCTGCCCCTGTCGCCCTTGCCCCGGGCCGCGCCGGAGCCGCCGCCGCCCCAGCTCTCGCCGCGCCAGCCGTCGTTGCCCCCGCCGCCGCGGCCGCGCCAGCCGCCGTAGTTCTGCCTGGGGCGCTTGTAGCTAGCGTCGGCGACGCGCTGCTCCTCGGCGGAGCTCCTCTCCTCCTTCGTGGCCTCGAGCTCCCCCTGGAGCGTGGTTTTGCAACCTCTTTCGTGCCAATACCCCACGCGGAGCTCGTCGATCACCTGCGGATAGGTAATCAGAATCGATGCGACATCGCCGTCTGCCACTGCCAGAGCCTGAAGGAGAACGAGACGCGTCGCCGCGAGTCCCCCGCGGGCGTTTCCGCGCTTGCGCTCTCTCCGCGCCCCCCCCCTTCCTGTCTCTGCGTCCTTCGCCCCTGTCGGCGGCGGGCGGCGTTGTCACATCGACGCCGATTGCCCCTCCGCGACTTCTCTGACTCGGCTTGCACCTCCGCGGGGCGGCTGCTGCGCTCCTGCTTCAGGTCCGCGAGCTTCTTTTCGCACCCCTGCTTCTGGAGCCGGAGGGCGCTCTGCCCCATGCCCTCGCAGCGGCCGCGCGCTCGGCGGCGCGCGCGGAAGTTGACCCCCCGGTCAAGGTCGAGGTCGGCCTCCGCCGCGGCCACGGCGTTCAGAACCTCTTCCTTTGCCGCCAAGGCCGCCGCGGCCTTCTCCTGCGCCGCGCGCGCCGTGGCGAAGGCGTCTTCCTGGGCAAGCTCGGCCCTCTCCGCCCTCCTCAGAGCCGTGTCTGCCCTCTTCTGCGCCTCGGCCGCCGCCTCCGTGGCGCTCTCTGCTTTGTCTTTGACCCGCTGGGCGTAATGCGCCTCTTCGTGGTCCGGGTTCACGTTGCCGAACAAGTCAAACAGCGGCTCCGGCAGCTCCAGCGCAGGCGTTTGGGTTCCGGCGTGCCGGAACACGCGGGCCGGCGGCGCCGGCCGCGGACCCGGCGACGAGCTCCGGTAGGGCGCAGCTATGCGCCCCTGCGCGTGCCTCGCGTAGCGCTTGAGGCCTGTCTGGTGTCCTGCTTCTTCAGCCAAAAATTCCTGCTTCTTGAGCCAAAAGCCTGCGTCCGGTCGTCGTGGTCGTGGTTGCTGTCCGTCGTCCTCGTCATCGTCGCGTCTTGCGCTCTCTGTGTTTCGTCGCGCTCCTAAGGGACACAACGACGACGACCACCGCCACGGCGACTCCCTTGAGCGCTCCGAAGTACCCCAAAAGGACGACGACGACGACGACGACGACCACGACGACTCTCTTGAGCGCTCCCAAGGGCGCCAAAACGACGACGACGACGACCACCACCACCACGACGCCCTTGCGCGCTCCCAAGAACCCCAAAACGACGACGACGACGACGACGACGACCACGACGACTCCCTTGAGCACTCCCAAGAACCCAAAACCGACGACGACGACGACGACGACGACGACGACCACCACGACTCTCTTGAGCGATCCCAATGACCCAAAAACGACGAAGACGACGACGACGACAACCAGGACGACTCCGTCGAGCGCCCCCAAGGACCCCAAACCGATGACGACGACAACGACGACCACCACCACCACGACTCCCTTAAGCCCTCCCAAGGACCCAAAACCGACGACGACGACGACGACGACGACGACCACGACGACTCCCTTGACCGTTCCCGAAGGCGCCAAAACGACGACGACGACCACCACCACGACGCCTTCGAGCGCTCCCAAGAACCCCAAAACGACGACGACGACGACGACGACGACGACGACGACGACGACGACGACGACGACCATGACGACTCCCTCGAGCACTCCCAAGGACCCGCAACGACGACGACGACAACGACCACCACTCCCTTGAGCGCCCCCATGGACTCCAAAACGACGACGACGACTACGACGACGACGACGACCACGACGACTCCCTGGAGCGCTCCGAAGAACCCCAAAACGACGACGACGACGACCACCACGACTCCCTAGACACCCCCCAAAGGGTCCCTTGAGCACTCCCAAGCAGCCACGACGACGACGACGACGACTCCCTTAAGCCCTCCCAGGGAACCACGACGACGACGACTACCAAAACGGTTTCCTTCAGCGCTCCCAAGCGACCACGACGACGACGACGACGACGACGAAAACGGCTCCCAAGCAGCCGCGGGTCCCTTGAGCGCTCCCAAGCGGCCACGACGACGACGACGACGACGACGACGACGGCGACGACCCCCTTGAGTCCTTTCCACGGAACCACGACGACGACCACGACAACCAAAACGGTTCCCTTGAGCGCTCCCAGGCGACCACGACGACGACGACGACGACGACGACGAAAACGATTCCCTTGAGCGCTCGCAAAGAGCCGTGGGCCCCTTGAGCGCTCCCAACAAGCCACGACGACGGTCCTGCGGGCGCTCCAAGGCCCCCCGCAATGGCTGGAGCACCTTAAGGGAGCGGCGGCGACGACCGAAGCGGCCACGCGGGCGCTTCACCGACCCCCGCGGTGGTTCCAGCGTTGTCGTCGCCGTCGTCGTCGTCGCCGTCGTCGTCGTCGTCGTTGTCGTCGTCTCCTCCGAACTCGAAAATTCAGCGGCAACGTTTTCGTCAGAATCCGTAACCGAAAACTGTGGCATTTGCGTTACCGAATCGCCCCCGAATTCCACTAGTGACAACAGCTACCATTTTCAAGCCTCCGGGCCCCCCCCGGATGATTCCAAAAAACATCCCCTTGTGAGGTTTGCGTCGATGTGCATCGCCGGAAATTGCGATGATGAGTTCGTAAGCGATTTCCTATGCGAATTGCTACAGCGGCGGCTTCTTGCCTTTTTAACACAGGCGGACACATATCCCTCCCCCGAAGCCAAAAACAAAAAAATGCGCTATCTCCCCTCATTCAGAGCCCAGGAGGGGGGCTGCAAGCGCTGGCACTCAGGTTAAATATAAGCAAAAGTACTCCTCCTTCATGTTCAAATATACAAACCTGATCGCTTTGCAACGCATTTTGCACGGGCGTGCCCCCCACCGCTCCATTTCCTCCTTGTTGCGCGCTAGCTTTGGCCCTTGCGGGACCCCCCCAAAAAAACAATTGGCGCTCGTTTCCCCTTACTCGCAGGTACGATTGCTCCCCAAATTTTGGAAACCATCCACAATCAATACATGATTCAACGCAGCGTCCATACACCCAACCACTGCTCCCACTGCGCAATATGATACGAAAGCCCCCCATTGATAGGGGGGTCGGGGGGGGAAAACCCTAAACCCTAAAAGCCTTGGCCTTGGGTGGTTCGGGGCGGGGATGAAGAGCTCGGAACGCGCGCGACCAGGGCAGCGATCCCCCCCCCCAACAATCTTGATGAGGGGGGGGATCGCAGCCAGCGCGCGCTTTCACAAATGCAGGCCCTAAACTGCAAGCCGCGGGCTGCGCAATGTCCGTAGCCCGTGGCGTCTGGCCGAGCGCTCAGCGAGCCTGCCCAATACTCACGTACGTGGCACCGACGAAGCGCGCAGCGCTGAGGAGGCACTCGCCCGCCGCGCGTATGCGGCCGCCGCTTGTTTGCTTAATGAAAGGAGCCCTGAACCCTCAGCTGCAGCCAGCGGTTCCCCCGCGGTCGGCTCCATCCCCTGGGGCTCCAAACCTATGAAAATACAGTATCCGGCCGTTCTTTCGGCCGTCAGTGGGGCCGCAAACCATATGAAAATACAGCCTGCGGCGCCGCTTCAAGCGCCCACGGCGCCCAGGCGCTCCCAGGCCCTCCCAGGAGCTCCTAAGAGCTCCCCAGGCGCTCGCGGCAGGCTCCCAGGCGCTCGCGGCACGCTCCGAAGCGTTCCCAGGCGCTCCCAGGCGCTCCCGGCGCGCTCCCAGGCGCTCCCAGGCGCTACGAGGGCCAAGCGCTCACAGGCGTTCCCAGGCGCTCCCAGGCGCTCCCGGCACGCTCCCAGGCGTTCCCGCAAGCGCTCCCAGGTGCTCCCAAGCGCTCCCAGGCGCTCCCCGGCGCTCCCAGGAGCCTCCAGGCGCTCCCAAGCGCTCCCGGCACACTCCCAGGCGCTCCGCGGCACGCTCCCAAGCGCTTCCAAGCGCTCCCAGGCGCTCCCAAGCTTTTCCCGCACGCTCCCAGGCGCTCCTGGGCGCTCCCAGGCGCTCCCACGAGTTCCCAAGCGCTCCCAGGCGCTCCTGGGCGCTCCCAGGCGTCCAAGCATTCCCGCGCGCTCCCCAGCGCCCACAAGCGCTCCGAGGCGCCACGCGGCGCTCCCAGGCGCTCTCGCGCGCTCCTGGGCGCTCCCAAGCGTCCAGCGGTCCCATGGCGCTCCCAAGCGTTCCCACGCATTCGCAAGCACTCCGCAGCGCTCCCTGGCGGCGCTTCCCGGCGCTCCCCCGCCACGCAGGTGCTGCCGCAGCCATGCGCGCGCACCGTTGAATCAGGCGCTACCAGACGCCCCCAGGCGCTCTGAGACGGCCTCAGGCGTTCCCAGGGACCCCCTAAGCGCTTCCCGGCGCACCAAGCAGTTCCCTGGTGACTCTGCGAGACGTTGCCCGGCGCTCTCAGGCGCTCGCAAGCGAACCCGCGGCGCTCCCAAGCGCTCCGAAGCGTTCCAAAGGCTCTCCAAAAGCCTCAGGACAGCGTGCACGCGCATGCGCAGCGCCAGGTCGGCGTCGCCGCGACAGTGTCTGGGAGAATGCGAGGGGGCGTATCCAGAACCCTCTCGCAATGCAAGGCATATCGCCACGTGCTGATCTGCTGCCGCCGCTGCCGCGTTGCGAGAGGGCGCCAGACCCGCCCCCTCGCGCTCCCTCTCCCCCCACATCCGAACTCCAGGGGTCGACTACGAAAACGAGGGCTACGGATCTGCTCTAGGGGGCGTCCGTCTTTGCTGGCTATCGGAGAACTGAGCCTCCTGCTGCTCCGAATCCTTTACTCATTATCCGACACCTGCATGGCGGGGGAGCGCCGGGAAGCGCCGCCAGGGAGCGCAGACACCGTCATGGCCATCCCAACAATATGTTCGTTTTCGCGCACCATTCAAAAGCCCCCGTTGATAGGGGGGGTGGGGGGTAGAAAACCCTAAACCCTAAAAGGCTTTACTTTGGATGGTCTGGGGCGGGAGTGCAAAGTTCGGAGCGCGCGCGGCCTGGACCGCGATCCCCCCCAACACGCCTGGTGAGGGGGGGATCGCAGCCAGCGCGCGCCTTCTCTTATGCAGGCCCTAAACCCTAAACCCTCAACCCTAAACCCGAAACCCTAAACCGAGGCCCCCAAGGGGCTCAAAAAAAAAACAAGAGGCCTCCAAGAAATCCCCCAGAAGCCTCCAAGAGGCCTCAAAGAAGCCCCCACAAGGCCACACAACGACTGGAGTGTAATGTTATTTCCCCCCCTGGGCGAACTACGGCGCAGCGCCAGCCAGGTGGAAGCTGGTCACGGCGGCGCCCATGATTAGAGCCGGCGCTGGAAGGGAAGATGGGGAGGGAGTATGAAAAGAAGGGGGGGGAGGGCCCCAAAGAAGTCCCCAAAAGACCCAAAGAAGCTCCCAAGAGGCCTCCAGGAGGCCCCCAGGAGGCTCCCAAGAGGCCCCGCGACGACGTGACTGCACGTGCTCCGGACGTGCACCCCGCGAAGCGAGAGGAATCGCGACGATGCCTCAAGCGATAGCGCGATTCCCAAATAAATCGTGAGGAAATCCACAGCAAGAGCATGATTCCTGAGTGTCGAGGGCGCTGCGTCTGAACAAATTGCGAGGAACTCCAACGCAAGAGCGCGATTCCTGCATAAATTGTGAGGATGTCCCGCGCGAGAGCGCGATTTGGGAATCAATTGTGAGGAGGTAGAAGGCTGGAGCCGCTGTTATTGTAAGCTGGGGGCCAGGGGCGCAGTTTGGTGACACCAAGCTTCCCTTTGTAAAAAACAGGGTGCGAGCCCCGGGAGAAACACTTTTGAAAAATACAAGGGTTACCAGACCAGGAAGGAGAGGACGGATGGAAGGGAGAGGGAGAAGGATGGAGCACGACAAAAATTAGCAGAAGGGGCTAGCGGGCGGGTCGGGAAGGCGGGCCCAGGCGACCAAGTCGAGTTGGCGGGCTGCTAAAGCATGATTCCTGCACGAATCGCAGGGAAGTCTCGAGAGATAGCGCGAGTCCTGAGTGTCGAGGGCGCGGTGTCTGAATACATTGCAACGAAGTCCTACGCGGGAGAGCAATTCCTGCATGAATCGCGAGGAAGTCTCGAGCGAGATCATCATCATCATCATCATCATCATCATCCTCCTCCTCCTCCTCCTCCTCCTCCTCATCATCATCATCATCATCATCATCAGCATCATCAGCAGCATCATCATCATCATCATCATCGTCATCGTAATCGCCATCGTCATCAGCAGCAGCAGAATCAGCATCATCATCATCGTCGTCATCCTCACTATCATCATGATAACCATCAGCAGCAGCATCATCAGCAGCAGCAGAATCCTCATCCTCATCCTCATGATCAGCATCATCAGCAGCATCACCAGTGGTATCATCATCAGCATTATCATCATCATCATCATCATCATCACCATCATCATCATCATCACCACCACCATCACCATCATCACCATCATCATCATCAGCAGCATTATCATCGTCATCGTCATCGTCATCGTCATCATCACCACCATCATCGCATTATTCCTTATTCTTGCTCATTATTCATCATTTTGCTCCTCCTCTTCCTCCTTATCCTCTTCCTCCTTCTCATCCTCATCCTCCTCATCCGCCTTCTCCTCCTCATCCTCATCATCCTCATACTCATCAGCATCATCATCATCACCATCATCATCATCAGCAGCATCATCATCACTATCATCATCATCATCATCATCATCATCATCATCATCATCATCATCAGCAGCAGCAGCAGCAGCAGCATCATCATCACCACCACCACCACCACCACCATCATCATCATCATCATCATCATCTTCAGCATCAGCATCATCCCTCCGTCCTCCGTCCTCCTTCCTCCTTCCTCCCTCCTTCCCCCTCCTCCACCTTCTCCCCTGCTCCTCCTCCTCCTACTCCTCCTCCTCCTCCTCATCATCATCATCATCATCCTCATCCTCATCCTCCTCCTCCTCACCCCCTTCCGCCCCCTTCTGCGCGCCGCCAGCGCTCTCAGGAGCTCAATCAAGGCCTAAAGCGTCCAACAGAAACCCGCAGGAGGGCTTCCAAGAGGCCCCCCTTGCCCACCCCCTTCTGAGGACGGATCCAGGTCCAGGAGACATCAGCGGACCGGGATAAATCGGGGATCTCTGAGATCCAACGGCTCTCATGATGGCCGCGAACCGGCCCGAGAACCGGAAACCGGCCCACGACCCGAACCGTCCGAACCGGGCTGGCCCGACCTCGGACACCGAACCGGCCAGAGCGCACCAGCCCGCCGAGCCGAGCCGAGTGTGGACCGAAAGGAAGAGCCGCCCACTCCGGAAGACGTGTCGGGCGCCGCGGCAGTTCCGAGCGCTTCGGAACGCTCTGAGAGCGCTCCAGAACGCTTTGGAGCGACGTACACACTGTTCATGTCTAATTCTTCAAAAAGTTCCTTGATTTCTGGGGGGGCCAAGGTCCTTTCATTTCTAAGTGTTCTATCCTGGGCCTCTTCCTGGCCGCTAGGGGGCCAGGAAGAACTAGAAGCGAGCACAACTAGAAATGAGCACGACTAGAAATGAACGACGTGTGCATATCCTGGTCCTGGCCCCGCCCGACTTCTGCGCAGCGCTGGGGCCTCCGGAGCGTACGGAAGAGCCGACAGCGAGCCACCGACCGGTGCCTCTGTCCTCGAGCCGCTGTCGGGCCCCATCGAAAACTCCTCCTCCTCCTCCTCCTCCTCCTCCTCCTCCTCTTCCTCCTCCTCCTCCTCCTCGATCTGGGTCCCAGCAGTGCCAGCACCCGGCTCGGACATGCACATGCCGCCGACCTTGGAGCCCTCGCAGACGGCCGGCAGCCAGCGCCGCTTCTGGGCCTCGCACCGCGACGGCGACCACGCCGACGAACTGGACGTCAACGCCGACGACGACGGCGACGACGCCGCCGAAAGCAACGAAGTCGACGACGACGTCGACGACGACGACGACGACGGCGACGACGACGACGGCGACGACGACGACGACGACGCCGACGGGCCCGGCAGACAGCTGGCAGCCGGCAGCACCCCCAGGCCCTGGGCCCCCCGGCCCCACGGCCGCTCCCCGGGGCCCCAGCGCCCTAGAAGACATCGGGGCGCCGACGTCGACATCGACGTCGTCGTCCTGCTTGCTTCTCCTCGTCCTGCCTTCTCCTCCTCCACCTCCTCCTCCTGCTCCTCATCCTCCCTCCTCCTCCTGCTCCTCCTCCTCTTCCTCCTCCTTCCTCCTTCTCCTCCTCCTCCTCCTCCTCCTCCTCCTCCTCCTCCTGCTCCCCCTTTTCCTCCTCCTTCCCCCTTCCTCCGTCCTCCTCCTCCTCCTTCTCCTCCTCCTCCTCCTCCTCCCCGCAGCCCTGTTCCTCCTCCTCCTCCTCCCCCTCCTCCCCGCAGCCCTCCTCCTCCTCCTCCATCTCCTCTTTCTTCTCGACCTCCTCCTCCTCCTCCTAGATATCCTCCTCTTTTCCCGCAGCTTAAAGGCTTCCGAAGCTAGCCGTTTGTCGATGTCGCTCCGCGGGCCTCGCGCCCGCAATGTCTAACAATCCGGTCAGACATGAAACGCACCTGTCGAGTGCTATAAGTGCAATCGCAAAGGAGGGAACCGACTCGACGTGGCAGATCGCCTCCATACAGTTGGGGCGTTGACCTAAGGAACCCCAAATAAGGAACGAGGCCCCTCTCTTCCATAAGTTAAGCTTCGGCGTTCCATCAAAAACCAAAGACATACCAAAGGCGAACTGTAGAACAACTAAGGAACACTGAGCCCCTCCCAAACGAAAAGGGTTCCTTCTTCAGCGCCCCGACTGTAGCCACAGTTCCACTCACCGTTCCGCCTGCGAGATCCCAGTGCGCATCCAACACCCATGCAGCTGCTACACACTCCGAGCTGCGCCATCCGCCATCAGTGAGCCAGGACATGTGCCCCGTCCAGCTGTCCCCCGTCAATCATGACATGACGGGCACAGTGTTTAGAATCCATCGCCATGGTGACCAAGTGGTCAGCGCGCCAGTTGGATCCACGCTTCTTCCACAATACTGGGCCCTTCCATCTGCAACACGGCGCCCATCCAAGAACAAACAGACGCGCAAGATGCCTTGACACTCTGTGGAACGCTGAGCCACGATGCGGCACCCTGGGTAGGGCCGAGAGCTGTCACATGGAGATTCCGACGACCGGCTGGCAGCCCGAGACGATGGCAGAGGGCCCGGCGGCACCCTCCCGCTCCAGAGGCTCGGCCGCGAAGCCGCGCTTGGTATTTCGGCGGCCGGCATGTTCTCCAGAGCACCCTCGGATGTCCTGACGCTGGCGGCTCAGACTGCTACGCCTGGGTGTCACACGCGGTACGCAGCGCTGGCAATTCCCACAATCGGCAAACTTCTGGACGGAGGACCGGGAGCGACGGCATCCAGTCCCGCTCGCAACTGGCTGAATTCCACTGCGATCGCCATTCTAAGCCCAGAAGGTCGCATAGCCAATCCTCCCGCAGCGTGAACGTTCCTGGCATTGCGTGCAAGATCAGCTCCGCACGACTGACGTGGTACATGTACTTGATGAACTCCCAACACTTCTCTGCATCGGAACTGCCGGACAGTACCCAAGATCTGATTGCCTCAGGGTGCGTTGAGGGAGTTCCCGCGGTAGGCGTTCTTGAACACATGTCTAGTAGCCTTCAGATCTTGAAATAAAAAACACTTTGTCTACACATCGACGCCTTGACCTGGGCTGAAGTACGGTCGTTGGAAATAAAACTATACTCACCAGCCTTCCATCTCATATCGAAGATTTTCCAAATGAATTCCCATTCCCACGAGCGCAATCGAACCAAGAGACTTTTGGATACATGATCCCAGGTCGAGGGTTCACAGGACCCTCCTAATGGGATGGGACCCAGGGTTCCACAGCCCCCCTCCCCCCCAGATGGGATGGGGAGGGCGACGAAGACGCCGACGCCGACGCCGACGCCGACGCCGACGACGACGACGGCGACGACACGACGACGACGACGACGACGCCGACGACGGCGACGGCGACGACGACGACGAGAATGACGACGAGGACGACGACAACGACAAACCACCCCAGACCAATAGAGGAAGGGGGGGGTGAACTGGCACCCTCCACCACGCCACGCCTACTGGGCCTCGACCACAGGCGGGGGGGGGGGGGGGGGGGGGGGCGATCCCATTCGCGAGGTCTTCGCGAAGCTCACGGGCGTACCCATCCAGCGGAGGGGGACTCGATCCAACTTGCATCAGGTGGAACAACCCTGGATCATACATGACAAGATCCCGCGCCAAGCAAAGCGGATGCCTCATCCTCCTCCTCCTCCTCCTCCGCCTCCTCCTCCTCCACCTCCTCCTGCTCCTCGACGTCGTCGCCGTCATCGTCGTCTCTCCTCGGCGTCGTCGTCGTCATCGTCGTCGTCTCTCCTCCGAGTCATCGTCGTCATTGTCGTCGTCGTCGTCTCTCCTCGGCGGCGTCGTCGTCGTGGTCTTCGGCGGCGGCGGCGTCGTCGGGGCGCGCCTCGCGTGGGCCTCTAGGGGCCCGTTTCGAGCCCTGGGGCCGACAGCAAAGAGAATGAAGAGGCCCACAAACACACAAATAAATACACACAAATAAAACTATTTCCCATATTTTCCCACATTTTCTGAGTTTCTGTCTTCCCCACCACTTCCCATGTTTTCCCATATTTTCCTGGGGATCGACGATTAATTGTGTCTGTGTGTTTCTTCCCCTCCTGAGAGAAGCCCGTGGCACATGGAGCCCGCAGACAAGACGGGGCCGAAGCTCCCTGGAGGTCCGCGCGCCGAGAGACCCAGCATGCCGGTCGGCGACTCCGAAGGGAGGGGCCTGCAGAACGCGCGGCCTGGCCCCGCCTGCAGCCCGCGCCCTGGGGGAGCGGGCGGGGACCTCGACAGAGCTCTCGGCCGCGCCCCGAGGGAGGGCTCCTCAGGCCTCTGGCGCAGCGCGGTGATGCCCGAGCCCCAGCGGCTCCGAGCGCAGGCCACACCCTGGCGTGACCGCACCCGCCGTGTGGTCGGCCGAGCGGGAGGCCCGGGGCCGAGCAGGCCTCCCCCGGGCCCAGGGAACGCTCGAGGCGGCCACGGGGCCCACGCACCCACAGAGGCTCGGGGCGCGGAAGGCCCGGGGCCCAGCAGACGGAGGCCTGGAGATGGGCACCAACACCAGCACGGGGCGCTGCCTCCACAGGAGGAGGACGGTCCTGGAGTTCGGTGCCGGTGGCAAGCATTGCTTCGATCGCCCTGGAAGCCAGAATAATTTTACCACCATCACCGAGGTCGGGATCTTCTTCCCTCGGTGGAGGCGCACCGCCGACACTGGTGCTGGTGTCAATATATAAGCCTGCGAAACTGGGGAAATCAAGAGGTACCGATACCGCTACTCCCTGGACCTCTCCCGGGGTGCCTTCTGACCAGGATTTCGAGGCGAATCCAGCGGTGGCGACGAGGGCCGCCGAGGAGGCCCGCAAAGGGGAAAACGGGCGGAGTGCAGAGGTATGGGCAAAACTCGACCACAAGCGCAGCCGGCGCCTGAAAACGACTTCGGACACCCGTCCGTGGAGACACGAACTCAAAGTCACTTTTCTTGACTGCTCATTCTGGGGACCTTCCTGGAGCCACTCGCTCCACTCGTGCGTCGAAGCTGCGTCGAACGTCCGTCGATTCGAGTCGACCTTGAGTCGAACTTGAGTCGAACTTGAGTCGAACTTGAGTCGAACTGGGGTCGAACAGATCCATTAGGTGGGCCCCAGGAAGGTTCCCAAAACGAGCATCCAACTTTTTGTTCCCCTAGGGACAGCGCGAGGCGGCACGAACTCCGCCCCCGAACTCTGCGCGCGCGGGCCTCCGAACCGCCGCCGCCGAGGCCCCGCGGCGCGCGAGGGCGAGCGCGCTCCGGGCAAGGCGCCAGGCGCCCCCCCCCACCCGCCCACCGGAGGAGGACGCCGCCTTGGAGCGGTTTGGGGAGCCTGTTGGGCGGTGCTTTAGCGCCAGAAACGCGGAAAAACGAGAATGCAAAAAACATTGGGACAACAACCGATGAAAATCAAAGATTTTGCCTTCTTCGGGGCGGTCCTGGGCGGCATCTTAAGGGCCTCTTGGGGCGTTTTGGGGGCCTCCGGGGCCCCCCCCCCACCAGAGGAGGACGCCTCTCTGGCCCCAGGCTTATGTCGGGCGTGTCCCCCCCTACAGGGGGACTTTCGACGAGAAATGCAACATACCCCAAAAATGGTCCAAAAATAATTCAGAAATAATCTGGGGGCTATTTTTTTGACTATTTTTGACCTTGGGTATTTCTTATTTTTCGTCGAAAATCCCCCTGTAGGGGGACAGGCCCGACATAACTCTGGCCCCAGGCCCGCGACGCGCTCGGGGGCGCGCCAACGGGGATCGGGGGAGGTGCCCTCCCCAAAGTGCGGCCGGTGCCGCCTCGCTCGGCGGCGGAACTCCCCGGTTTCCCCTGGAAACGGGTCCCGTCGCGAATCCACGCCCCCTCAATCCATGCTTGCGATCGCCTGACTCTGGCCCCAGGCCCGCGACGCGCGAAGCACGAGCGTTAGGTCGGTTCCCCTACAGGCAGCTTTCGGATGGAAAAGAAAAAGAAATAAAAGATAGCACCAAATGGTCAGAGATGTAGGGAATCGAACTCTATACACCGACGCTTCTTCCGGCCCTGCATTGGAATTTGCACTGGCGAGCGGATCCTGGTGTATACGGGACCCTGGTGTATACAGTTGTCGTTGTTCCCCTGGGGCATCGGGGAAAAAGTATACACCACACCACCCCAGCGTCGTCCTCGACCCTCAAGAAGCCCTGAGAGTGAAAAACAGCCCGCCGCTGCTAATGTATATGTTCCAGTTTCCGAAGACGGTCAAAGAATCGTTCCCAGACTACGTTCGGCTAGGCGTAAGAGTGACCCTGGGTAAGAGTGACCTTTGGTGCGCAGCTTTTGGGGGCGCGAGGGAGCCAAACCCAAGGGCGCGGGCCGCTTATATCGCATCGCGCTCTGCGATCGGGGGGAGCCCGATGAGCCCGCACCAAAGGTCAATCCGGCGAAGGGTCACTCTTACGTGTAGTCGATATGTTTTCACGACGTTCGAATATTCTGAAGGCGCCCCAGGACACACAAATGAATACACACAAATAACAGGATTCCCCGTAGTTTCCCATATTTTCTGGCTTTTTGTCTTCCCCCCCACTACCCATATTTTCCCATGTTTTCCTGGGAGTCGACGACTGATTGTGTCTGTGTTTTTCCCCCTCCGGAGATCCCTCCCGCAGAGGGACGCGCCCGACTTCACACGCGAGCCGGCCGGCGCGCCCCCCGGCGAGCGGCCTGCCTCGCTCGCTCCCGGGCGCCCCCCCCCCCCCCCCCCCTCGGCTATATACACGCCAGAGCGGCCCCGGGCCAAGGACCACCTTTGGAGCGCGGCTCTCGGAGGGTCGGTCGGCGGGGGGGGCAGGAACCAGGCGCGCAAGACGCAACTGTTAAGTCGGGCCTGTCCCCCTGCAGGGGGATTTTGGGCGAAAAATAAGAAGTAGTCCAAAATACCCTACAACATTCAAAACGTGATCCAAAAATCGACTCCAGACTGTCCTTTGCCTGTTCTTGAACACTCCTCCTGTAGGGGGACAGGCACGACTTGGCGCAGCTGACTGTCGCATCGCATGCGGCGATCGGGGGGCGCCCCAGTGGGCCCGCACCAGAGGTCACTCCGGCGACGGGCCACTCTCACGCGCAGCCGGCCCCCCCCCAAGGGGCCCTCGGGCGGGCGCCCGGGCCACCCGCGGGCCTCGCTGCCGTTCTGCGCCAGGTTGTTGACGAACAGCATGCTGTGCGCCAGGTAGGCCAGGCAGAACGCCGGGTCGCTGGCGGAGAGCTCCTCTCGGGTCGGGCGACAGGGGGGGGATAGCAAAGGGGGGGGGATGAGAATCAGCTCACGTAGCTGATTTTCCCGGCGCCTCCCGGCGCCGGAGGCGGCCATGTATCGAAGAATGGGCCCCTCGGTGAGGCCGAAACCAGCAGCATGCAGCAGATCTCGTGACCCCCCCTCTCCCAATCCCTCCCCTTCGCCCGGCCCGATCTCCTCGTGGACGACGACGGCCGCCGTCGCGTCCATACCGCTGCCGCCGTACTCCTCGGGCACCGTGACGCCCAGCAGCCCCAGCTCGCCCAGCTTCCGGAACAGCGGAAGGTTCATCCGCTCCTCCCGGTTGAACTGGATCGCCTGGGGCTCCACCTCTGGCCGGCCGCGGGCCCCCCCCGCGCAGAGGGCGCCCGGCACCCGCCTCCCCCGGGGGAGGGCCCGCCCTCGCCCCCCGCCCGCCCTCCGCGGCCGCGAGCCTCCCTGGCTCCTTCGCCTTCCCTGGCCTTCCAGGAGGGCTAAAAAATAGCACCAGGACGTCGACGTCCTAATTCCTGTCGAGGTTTGAGGCAGTCCAGATAGATCTATAGGTCTGGAGTGGCAGGGTTGACGTGGCAGCCTCAAGGTGTACAAGAGGCCGCTGCGAACAGGAAAAAAAAACGCCGGAAACGGAACCTTTGGGCGCTCCGCGCGAACTTGTCTCTTGGATCCGCGCGGATCCCCCCTCCCTGTCGCGCGGAGCGCGCCAGGGGCGGCGCCAGGGGAGGGGGCGAGGCCAGGGGTGAGGAGGAGGAGGAGGAGGAGGAGCAGGAGGAAAAGGAGGAGGAGGAGGAGGAGGAGGAAGAGGGGCGCCGTGCGGAGCGGCAAGCTTGCGGAATTCTTCCTTCCTCGAGCTGCTGCGCCGAGGCTGGTGCCGCCGGTGGGGCTCGTCGGTCCGCCATGGGAGCCGCGGGCGGCAGCAGGGCGCGAGCGATTGCACTCGAGCTGCGGCTCGGGTGTGGCCAGAAGTGCCCCTGGCGCTCCAGGCACCCCCAGGACTCTCGGGGTGGCCCAGACGGCCTCCAAGGCACCCCTCACGAGGCCCAGAGGGCCCCAGGGCCCCAGGGGCTCCTCCTCCTCCTCCGACGACGACGCCGCCTCCGACGACGACGACGCCGACGACGACGACGCCGACGACGACGACGACGACGACGACGACGCTGACGACGACGACGATGACGACGACGACGACGCCGACGCCGACGACGACGCCGACGACGCCGCCGCCGACGACGACGCCGACGACGACGCCGACGCGCGCGCACGCGCGCGCTCTGGCTGCGCCCGCGTGCGGCGCGCGCCCGTGCCGGCCCCGCTCGGGGGGCCGCCCGGCGGAGGCGCGCCGAGAGCACGCCCGAGCGCGGAGACCGCGCAGCGCTGGCCGTCGCTCGGACGTCCATCCTCAAGTTGGCCTTGTCCCCCTGCAGGGGGGAAATTCAAAAATTAGTCAAAAAAATAGTCCGGGGACGATTGTTTGACCACTCTTTGAATATTTTGGAAGATTTTTTGACCACTTTTCGCTTGTCGTCCCAAATCCCCCTCTAGGGGATCAGGCCCGCCCCAAGTCCATCCCCCCCCCCCGTGGATTATCTTCGGTGCCGCGCGGTCCGTGTCCCGCGCCGGCTGCTCCAGGAGGCCGCCCCTCGATGGTCCTCGCCGGAGGGATGCACGCTTCCGAGCGATGCCAAGAATTCGGCCTCCGCGCCCCGAGTAGGCGGCACACCCGGCTGCTCCCGCACGGCGACGAACGAGCCAACGACGGGCGCGCGCGCGCGCGCGGAGCCGTGAAAGAACCTCGGCAGGGTCTCGCGGCCCCCTTCCCTTTGCTTCGAGCCAGAAGCCGATCCTGGGCGGCGCCGGGGCGCGACGCGAGGCTCTCGCGCGAGGCCCTGGGCGCGAGGGGCCCTCGCGCTGCAGCCTCGGGGGACCTGGTCTGTCCCATCGCGCCACGATCCGTGTCGAATCCGTGTCAAATCCGCGTCCGACGTCGAATCCGCGTCGAGAATCTGCGTCGAATCCACGTCGAATGCGCGTCGAATCCGTGACGGCTCCGAGTCGGGCACAAGAGAAAAAAAAACAAAAAAAACAAAAAAACAAAAAAACAAAAAAAAAAAAAAAAAAAAAAAAAAAAAAAAAAAAAAAAAAAAAAAAAAAAAAAAAAAAAAAAAAAAAAAAAAAAAAAAAAAAAAAAAACGGGACAGACGAGGCCCCCCGAAGATGCATCGCGAGGGTCCCCTCCTCGAGCCACGACTCGTGCCTCCGACGGCCGCTCGGAACGATCCCGTCGTCCCCTGGAAGGTTCACGACGGGACGCAGTCGCTGGAACCCCAGCATCCCCCCCGCAAACCGTGACGGCCTCCCCGACGCCGGCCCCCTCGAAGTCATGGCCTCCTCCCTCGAAACCGATACCCCGCCTCTCCTGGAACGCGTGCTGACCAGGGCCCCGAGGCAGATCCAGCCGAGGCGACGAGTAACCCCTAGGAGCCCCCCTCAAAAATGGGGGGACACACGACGAGGAGGAGGAGGAGGAGGAGGAGGAGGAGGAGGAGAAGGAGGAGGAGGAGAAGGACCAGTGTAAACCCACGAGCCATCAACGGTGTTGGAATACACCCTCCCTCCAAGCTCCCTCTTCACGGGCTCCTACAACAGTCATTTCCATTGAGGGAACTGCCTCGTTGGAAGGCAACCGTTTGGAGACCTGGAAGCATGTCAAAACATTGCTCTCGGGATTCCAGCGCCACGGATCAACCTGACTGACGCGTCTTGGCGATCCTGGATCGCGCCAGAATGCCATTCTTGGGATTTCAACACCACGAAGCAACGTAACAGTTGCACCTGCAAAATCTGGAATCCGTCCAAAACACCATTTCTGGTACGCTGGTCATGGGAATCCGTGAAACTCTTCCAAATTGTATATACGAATGTGCGCGGCGCTAAGGCGAGAGCCACATTTTGAAAAGGAAGCGCCCTCAATCCGTGAAGCTCTTGCAAAAGTTTAGAACGAATGTGCGCGGCGCTAAGGCGAGAGCCACATTTGGAAAACGGGTGATCCTCAATCTGCGAAACTCTTGCATGTTTAGAACATGTGTGCGCGGCGCTAAGGCGAGAGCCACAATTTGAAAATGGGTGATCCTCAATACATGAAGCTCTTGCATTTTTTGAATTAAAAAAAGCGTGGCACTAAGGCGAGAACCACATGTTGAAAACGTGTGATCCTCAATCCGCGAAGCTCTTGCAATGTTTTAAAATGAATGTGCGCGGCGCTAAGGCGAGAGCCACATGTTGAAAACCACCCACCCGCCCTCCATCTGTGAAACTGTTGCCACTTTTTAAGCTTCAGGGTCATAGATGGTGACGGCCCGCCCTAAAAACTGGCCTCTGGGTGCGACAGGGAGAAGTTATTTATAAGGAGAAGGAATGGAGGAGGAGGAGGAGGAGGAGGAGGAGGAGGAGGAGGAGGAGGAGGAGGAGGAGGAGGGAGGAGGGAGGAGGGAGGAGGGAGGAGGACGGAGGAGGGAGGAGATCGCACGCGGCCAGGGAACGAACCAACACGGGCGTCCAAGGCCTGCGCGAGATGTAGTCCAAGTGCACCGAGTTTGCAGCTGCGTTGAGAGCAACACGGGGCAAGTGCAAGGCCAGTGAACCGCTCAAGCGGGAACACACACACACACAGACACAACCAATCGATCAATGAATCAAACAAACAAGCAAACAATCGAACAAGCAAACAAGAAAGCAAGCAAACAAACAGACAGACCGACAGACGGACGGAAAGGCAAAAAAAATCAGCCGGCCCCCCTGTGGGGCCACCAGGCTGCGCGGATGAGGCTTCACGTAAACTGCTCCAGCTCCAGTTTCCAGTTTCCGGCTGATGTAATGCTTCCTACAGTACATGGATGCTGTCCGCGCGAAGGGAAGACCGAGAACCGCCCTGGCCATCGCCCCCGCAACGCGTTGCCGGAATCCCGCCAGCCCTCTGGGCGTGAGTGGTTTAGGGAGTTTCCTCATCCAGCTCGGTCGGGTACTCCGGATTCCATAATAAAGTAGGGGGGGTCACATTTGGCGGGGGGGTCTGATTTGAGCTGTCTTGAAGGGTTTGGGGGGGTCTGGGCAAAGTGCCGCCCTTTGATGGATGGTCTGGGGGGGGTCTAGAAACTTCTCGTCTGGGAGGGTTGTGACCCCCTCCCTTTTATTACGAAATCTGGAGTAGCAATGGGGGGTGACCCAAATGGGGGGGGAAGAAAAGAATCCGAAAGGGGCCCTCTAGGGCCCCTTCTGGGCACCAACGGGCTCCCAAAGGAGCCCTCCCTAAAGGGGCCCTTGTAGGGCCTTTTCTTCACACACACCCTTTGGGTCGCCCCCCATCACCACCCGCCCAACCAACCCCCTTCTTCCCCCTCGGGGAGGAGGAGGAGGAGAAGGAGGAGACCACTGCCCCTAATGATAAACAGCGCCTCCCCCAGGGGACCGACAGCCAACCCGGACCAAGGAGGGCACCCCCTCCCAACAGTCCATGCGAAAAACAATACCACATGCACGTTGCCTCCCACATTCCATGTGAAAAACAATACCACATGCACATGCGCGGGCGCCCCGCGACCAATATGCATTGGTGTTCGACTGGGACGGCGGGGGGGCCGCATATTGCTTGCTCCCGCGCCAACCATCCCTGATAAAAAAAACAATACAAAACGCACGTTGGCTCCAAATCTGGAGCATGCGCAGGGCCCTCGTTTCTCGGAGCTCTGATCTGTTTCACGACTCCTCTAGATGTTACAATTTGTTAGTCGGTGTCGGTGCTTTGCGCTCCCTGGAGGAGCCGCCCTTCTCGCAGAATGCTCGGCACTTCGCTTCAGGGGTATTCAAGATCCTGAACACCTTGGGGCCCAGGACCCCATTCACCTGGGGCCCCTACTGCTTCCCCGTAGCTGTTGCGTAGGGCTGGGGTCAGGTCTGCAGAACACCACAAACTGACATCAAAGGGCGCAACCAACATGTTCGGTCAAGCTGAGATTGATGCACCACACCCGGCGTCAAGCCAAAACCTTGGACCTAGCGAATGGTTGGATGTTGCACATCGTCGCCGGCTTAGCCGGCGAGACGCTTGACCACCTTGACGTCTGTTTTTGGTGGTCCTGCAGAGGAAGGCGTTCTCTTGACCCTCGACCTAACTCAACGTAGCTGACACACCTGGCGCGGCTGGAGCACGTGGCACAGTTGGCGCACGTAGAACATGTGCCGCACCTGGCACGCTTGGGCATCCAGAGTGCCCGGCGCACACCCGGAACCCGTGGCGCGCATGGCATGTGTGGCGGGCGTTCCTAGGCGGTCTGCTG